AAATGAGTAACTGAGCTCCTTAACCATATTGATTCCACCATGGATGGGTGAAAACCTCACCACAGACTAATACTAGTCTGAGGACAGGACAAGGAAACTATAGCTCTGATAACTGCAAATGTTTCCTTTGTTTCCCTGTCTCTTTATGTGGTTATCTTCCAGTTACCCTCCATATGAGGGGTCAGCAAACTATAGGCCATGGGGCAAATCCAGTCTGCCTTATAGTTTTGTAAATGAAGTTTTGCTGGAGCTCAGTCATGCGTCTTTGCTTACCTATTATCTATGACTGTTTTCATACTTCAACGGCAGGGTTGAATAGGAATGACAGACCACATGAAAAAGCCCTGTACAGAAAAAGTTTGCCAATCCCTGCTTTTTTTTTTTTTTTTTTTTGAGACGGAGTCTTGCTCTGTCACCCAGGCTGGAGTGCAGTGGCTTGATCTCGGCTCACTGCAAGCTCCGCCTCCCGGGTTCATGCCATTCTCCTGCCTCAGCCTCCCAAGTAGCTAGGACTACAGGCACCCACCACTGCACTCGGCTAATTTGTTTGTATTTTTAGTAGAGACGGGGTTTCACCATGTTAGCCAGGATGGTCTCAATCTCCTGACCTTGTGATCCGCCCGCCTCAGCCTCCCAAAGTGCTGGGATTACAGGCGTGAGCCACCACGCCTGGCTAAATCCCTGCTTTATACCATAACCAGAATGCCCTAATACTCAAATCTAATCATGTGACTCCCCAGCTCACAATTCTCCAATGAATCTCTACAGTAAACATTGCTGTCTCCCTACCCAATAGCGATTCCCTGTTCTGTCTTGCTGGAGAAACACACGTCTATTTGGATATCTATCATGCCAATAGCCCTCCCAACTCCAAAAGAAGAAACGATTATTCTAAGCTCATCACAGTAATTACATTTGCTTTCCCAGTGCCTGGTTCAGGAATGAGCATGTGGTAGGACCCAGCCAATAAAATGTTACAGGAAGTCCACCACACACTTCTGAGTCTTCTCCCTAACTAAAAGAAACATGCAAAGAAAAGCCACCCTTTCAGCCTTCAGATAATGTCAGTGAGACCATAATGTTTGGAGCTGTTGCTAATTAGTCAGCCATGAAAACGGACGTGAACAAAATACTGTGATATCACTGAACCGTCAGAACAACTCTGGTGCCTACTGTTTTAGCCACTGTTAATTAGGTCATCCAGTATTTTCAGCCCAAAGCATTCTGCCTGGTAAATCTCCCATGGCCTGCGGAAAAAGATCTACTTGTTTCTTTTTCTTTTTTCTTTTTTTTTTGAGACAGAATCTTGCTCTGTCACCCAGGCTGGAGTGCAGTGGCGCAATCTCGGCTCACTGCAGCCTCTACCTCCCAGGTTCAAGCGATTCTCCTGCCTCAGCCTCTTGAGTAAATGGGACTACAGGCATGCGCCACCACGCCTGGCTAATTTTTTTTTTTTTTTTTTTGTATTTTTAGTAGAGATGGGTTTCACCATGTTGGGCAGGATGGTCTTGATCTCCTGACCTCGTGATCCGCCCACCTTGGCCTCCCAAAGTGCTGGGATTACAGGCGTGACCCGCCACACCCAGCCTGAGATCTACTCATTTCTATAGTATTAAAAAGTCTGGGCAGGGACTGGTGGCTCACGCCTGTAATCCCAGCAGTTGGGAGGCCAAGGCATGTGGATCACTTCAGGTCAGGAGTTCGAGACCAACGTGTCAAATATGCTGAAACCCTGTCTCTACTAAAAATACAAAAATTAGCTGGGAATGGTGGCTCACGCCTATAATCCCAGCTACTTGGGAGGCTGAGGCACGAGAATCACTTGAACCCGGGAGGCAGAGGTTGCAGTGAGCCAAGAGAATGCCACTGCACTCCAGCTTGGGTGACAGAGTGAGACTTTATCTCAAAAAAAAAAGTCGGTCATAAGCTTGCCTTCGGTATTCACTTCATTCCCAACCATTCGCATCTCATATGTTTTGCACTAGCAGAACTGAACTGCTCATAAACCCTGCAACGTTCACTCAAGCATCTTACTTTTGCACTCGCTGCTCCTTCTGCCAAACACATAATCTTCTGCCCACATCATCCTTCTGCCTCTTTACGTAGAAAAGTTCTACTCATTCTGCATGTTTAACTTAAATCTTACCCACTTTTTTACAGCTTTCATTCCTCACCACATGAAGTGTCTGGCACATAATTAACATAGTAAATGATCACTGTACACTTCCAGAGGGCATCTAGCACACAGTAGTAGGCATTGAATAAATACTTCAGCAAATAATTAAAATGACAATGATAATAACAAGCTCCTGAGTTTTGTTTGCTTGTTTGTTTGTTTCTTTTTTGAGACAGGGTCTCACTCTGTTACCCAGACAGGAGTACAGTGGCATGATCATAGCTCACTGCAGCCTCAAACACACAGGCTCAAGCAATCCTCCCACCTCAGCCTCCCAGGTAGCTGGAAGTACAGGCACCTGCCACCATGCCCTGCTAATATTTTAGTATTTTTTTAAAAATTTAGTAGAGATGAGGTCTTGTCATGTTGCCCGGGCTGATCTCGAACTCCTGGGCTTAAGTGATCTTCCCATCTCAGCCTCCCAAAGTGCTGAGATTACAGGCATGTGCCATTGTGGCTGGCCCCAACGGTATGTTTAAATATTTGTATTCTGTAACATTAGAAAAAAATGCTTAGTATCTAAAAGACATTTGATAATTATTTAAGTGGACAAGTGAATAAATGATTGCCTTGAAAATTCTGTTTAAAAAGCACAGAAATTAAATAGAGAAAGCTCTATTATATTATGAGCACCTCAGGGACCAAAACTATGTCTATTTCATGTTTGTCTCCCATGACTTGCAAAACCTAACTTAGAGAAGTTCTTTGATTAATATGTACTAAATTAAAGGTGTCCTCTAACAGTTCAGATTGTCCAATGCATTACGCATCACATCTCGGTAGCACAGAAGCATTTTTGTTATTGTGAAACATTTTTATACTTTTATTATAATTCATTGAGCCTCGAGTTGGGCTATTTGAATACGTATTATCATAATCTTTTGGCTAATGGTAACAATATATCTTGTTCTAACAAAATTACTGTTCACATAACAATTAACCAGCAGGTAGAAGAACACATCTTGTTCTAATGAAGTAAATATACCTCGTTCGATTTCCAATTGAAAGTCAATAATAGTGAGACCTTGTTGGTTTGTAAGTATGTAATATGACCTGTTCTTCCCAACAAGGAATTGCTTTTCTGACTTCTGCACTCAGAAGGTATCTTTTTTTTTTTTTTTTTTTTTTTTTTTTTTTTGAGACGGAGTCTCGCTCTGTCACCCAGGCTGGAGTGCAGTGGCCGGATCTCAGCTCACTGCAAGCTCCGCCTCCCGGGTTCACGCCATTCTCCTGCCTCAGCCTCCCGAGTAGCTGGGACTACAGGCGCCTGCCACCTCGCCCGGCTAAGTTTTTGTATTTTTAGTGAAGACGGGGTTTCACTGTGTTAGCCAGGATGGTCTCGATCTCCTGAACTCGTGATCCGCCCGTCTCGGCCTCCCAAAGTGCTGGGATTACAGGCTTGAGCCACCGCGCCCGGCCCAGAAGGTATCTTTAAAAAATAATTTCCCATTAGTATTAGTGCACACTGGGTATGTTTTGCAGGTTGGTTTGTTTGTTTGGTTGGTTGGTTTTAAGACAGGGTCTCACTCTGTTATCCAGGTTGTGATCACAATCACAGATCACTGCAGCCTTGACTCCCAGGCTCAAGCAATCCTCCCATCTCCGCCTCTCAAGTAGCTGGGATTACAGGTGTGCACCGAAACACCCAGCTAATTTTTTATTTGTTTTTGTGGTCTCACTATGTCACTCAGGCTGGTCTGGAACTTCTGGACACAAGTGATCCTCCCACCTAGGCCTCCCAACGTGCTGGGACTACAGGTGTGGGCCAGCACACCTGGCCATTTCGCAGTTCTTATTGCCATTTGTTTATGGTGCCAGAAAGGTATTGCTGAGTTTCCAGTTCTGAAACTAATTTCTTTTTTTTAGTGACACAAATCACTATGTAATATAGTTAGACTTTGAACAACACGCATTTGAACTGCAGGGGTCTGCTTATACGCAGATTTTCTCCCACCTGAGACAGCGAAGATCAATCTTCCTCCCCCTCCTTCTCCTTAGCCTGCCCAACTTGAAGACTATGATGAAGAGTTATATAATGATCCACTTGCATTTAATGAACAGTAAGCATATTTTTTCTTCCTTATGATTTTCTTAAGTTTATTTCTCTAGCTTTCTTTATTGTAAGAATACAGCATATTAATACATGTACCATACCAAACATATCTTAAATGACTGTTTATGTTATCAATAAGGCTGTTGGTCTACAGTTGGCTCTTAGCAGTTATGTTCTTGGGGGGAGTCAAAAGCGACATAGTGAGACCACATCTCTACAAAAACAAATAAAAAATTCGCTGGGTGTTTTGGTGCACGTCTGTAATCCCAGCTACTTGGGAGGCTGAGATGGGAGGATACGCAGATTTTTGACTGCAGAGGGGATCAAGCATCCCTAAATTCCACGTTGTTAAGGGTCAACTGTGATTGATATTTACTAAACATAAGTCATTTATTTTAAAAATTCAATAGAAGTTCTAATTTCATAACAAGTCTAATTCATTATAATGTGACTATAAAGAAAACATACAACTTACCAACTTTAAAATATCTTTTTCTTATTTATACAAAAATATCATAGAGGATTTTAGGGACCATTATTAAATACATTTTTTTCAGACTAGCTGGTTTGAAAAAAATAAATGACCTGCAATTAACTTTTTAAATAACTGTGAGATCTAACCTACCAAGAAAGAAATTAACAGAAAAATATACAACAACTTACACACACAGGGATTTTTTTAACCTGCTCTTTCATGATCAAAGCTTCCTTATTCTTACTTTTTTATCTATGGTAGGACCACCAAAAATAAGTCACTATCGAAAGTCTTACCTGGATTGTTATTCTGAGGAAGACTTTCAGGTGACTGTTCCATCTTACATTCAGGAATTAGGTGCCAAAGGCTATGGATAAAAATGTAATAAATGAAATTACTATTTTAAAACAAATATATTAAATTTTTAGAGTGTTTCAAACAATATCAGAGTTAATATCAGAACTTTAATTATCCTACATGCTTCCATTTGTGAGTTCTACCAACTTCTCTAAGCTTCTAAAGAAGAAAAGAAGATGAATTACTCATGAATTGAAGGCAGTATAGCTCAGCAAATTAACTCACATTAGCTTGGCATAATGGAAAATGTCCTAGCTCCATAACCAGCAGCTATTTGTTCTCTGACAAGTTGCTTCTCTTAGCCTCAACATATTCTTCTAAAAAGCAAGGATTTTACTGCCTTTTTTCACTAGGTTGTTAAAGATTTTTAATGGCATCATGTTTTGTAAATGCTCAGAGAAACAGTGAAGCAATGAAATAATTTGTTCTTGAGCTTTATTGCTGAAACTGTTTTGGAATTGCAAATAAAACCCAATGTGTATTTTTTCAGAGGTTCTCATATTCAAACGTTGCGGTTTTCTGAAATTGTTATTAAGTTCTAGTTTTGCTTATTAGTTGTTCTGTTCTTTGTGGCTTATAATTTGGGGCATCACAGCTATTTTCCAAATCATAGTTTGTAACTAAATTCACTTGTAAATATATTATTTCATCAACCTAGATAACATCACTGTCCACTATTACTGAGCTCATCAATCACGCCAAGGGCAGAAAGCTAACAGATGTCAAGACCTAGCCTGAACTCCTGTTCCACACAGACTCAAACTCTGAGTCGGTAGATCTTTGTTAGAACAATGCTCAATCCCCATCTTCATCTCCAACTGACATGGAAAATAACATTCTACTTTTATTTTTTGGTTTCAGTTCCATGAAAGATGCAAGTTGACATTCTCTCATTTCTGAGATACATACTAACAATATATTTGCACACAATATCCCACATGTTACTCACCTCCATTCTCACTCCATAGATCACCTTACTGCATATTTTTGTAGTGAAAAATCACAAAGTTAATATTAGGTGACACTCAGTTTGCTTTGACTCCTACTGTCTCTTTGGAGCAGTCAGCAAATAGTCAAATGAACTTTCACTAACTGCACAAAATATGAACCACTTCGCAAATCTGTGCATCATCCTTATGCAGGGGTCATGCTAATTTTCTCTGCATTTTATTCCAATTTTAGTATATGTTTGCTGCTGAAGCAAGTGCAAAGCTCTCTTTTTATACATGGATACTCATGAGTCATGGATGAGGCTTAGTTAGCTCTGTTAAATCCAACTAACATACTTGAGACTCAGAATTCTGGTGATGGCTTCCTGCCACAGCTCTGGGAAAGGATAATATGAGACCTTCCATGATCTAAGAAAAGGTATCATACTGGATATAAAGGGGCCTCAGCATACAGATCTGGTAGCAATGACAAAAGGAAACTCATCTCTTTCTGCAACATTATTTGAACTGAACCCCGAGGGCATAAAGGATAACTTAACGTGAAGGTCTCAGCTACGTCTAGGCTGAGATTAAAAGCATAACAAATTTTTAAAACAAAATAATTCTTACTTTGATTTTCAAAAATACTTTAAGCCAAAGGAAACTCAGGATTCAAAAGAATAGGTATGGCTCATTTTATTCAATACTTAGATTTATAGAATGCATGTAAATCAGGCATTTCCAATTATTAATATTAGTGTATAAGACTGTTATACATTTTCAAAAGGCACTTAAAGGTTACCTTTCACTATTTTCTACCTTCAGAAATGCTTTTCTTTGAAAGGAGGGAGAAAAAGTTTCCACTGAGATTAGGTCATCACACTCCAATTTTAAATCTCTCAGTTTACTCAGGCTGGACAGCAGGCTGGAGTGCAGTGCCGCAATCTTAGCTCACTGCAACCTCTGCCTACCGGGTTCAAGCGATTCCCCTGCCTCAGCCTCCGGAATAGCTGGGACTACAGGCGTGCACCACCACACCCAGCTAATTTTTGTATTTTTAATAGAGATGGGGTTTCACCATGTTGGCCAGGATGGTCTCCATCGCTTGACCTCATGATTCGCCCGCCTTCACCTCCCAAAGTGCTGGGATTACAGGCGTGAGCCACCACGCCCGGCCAACTTTATTATTATTATTATTATTATTATTTTGAGACGATGTCTTACTCTATCACCCAGGCTGGGGTACAGTGGCACGATGTTGGCTCACTGCAACCTCCGCCTCCTGGGTTCAAGCGATTCTTCTGCCTCAGCCTCCCAAGTAGCTGGGATTACAGACGCATGCCACTATGCCTGGTTAATTTTTGTATCTTTAGTAGAGACGGGGTTTCACCATGTTCATCAGGCTGGTATCGAACTTCTGACCTAGTGATCCGCCTGCCTCGGTCTCCCAAAGTGATGGGATTACAGGCATGAGCCACTGTGCCCAGCCAACATGAAGTTTTTAAGGATGGAAGGAACCTGAGCGAAAGTAGAACATGTCTGCTATATAATAGGTATTCAGCTTATGTTTCAATAAATTCTAAATAAATTGAGAAAATGGATAAACACATTTGGGAAGGGCAATTTTTTTTGTTTTTTGTTTTGTTTTGTTTTGTTTGGAGTCTGGCTCTGTCGCCCAGGCTGGAGTGCAGGGGCACGATCTCGGCTCACTGCAAGCTCCGCCTCCCGGGTTCACGCGATTCTTCTGTCTCAGCCTCCCGTGTAGCTGGGACTACAGGCGCCCGCCACCACGCCCGGCTAATTTTTATTCTTTGTATTTTTAGTCGAGACAGGGTTTCACTGTTGTTAGCCAGGATGGTCTCGATCTGCTGACCTCGTGATCCACCCGCCTCAGCCTCCCAAAGTGCTGGGATTATAGGCGTGAGCCACCGTGCCCGGCCGGGAAGTGCAATATTTATTTATTTATGTATTTATTTATTTATTTATTATTTTGAATCGGAGTCTCGCTCTGTTGACCAGGTTGGAGTGCAGTGGCCGGATCTCAGCTCACTGCAAGCTCCACTGCGGGGAAGTACAATATTTTTCAAGAAAACTGCTGTAAAGTAAAGCAACACATTTGCAATAGTAATAATCATTTATATGTTCTCCCGTCTCACTAAGAGACCTGGGCCCCTGACCCCTCTGAGGTTTCCCCTCCCGGGTGCCATGGGGCCTGCGGGCACCAGAAAGCCGGGGTCCCCAACAGGATGGCGCGAGTGCCTCCTTCCCCTGGCCATTACCTCTCCTTCCTATCCCTCTTGTTCACGCCAGGGTCTCCAGGAGCCAGGACGCGCTCCACCCCAGGGACGTCGCCCGACCGGGCAGCTCTGTGGGGCTCGCAGGGATCTTCCAGGCAGACGTCGTGCTGAGGCTGGTCTAAGGCGCCCTCAACGTGCTCGCTGTCGCTGCCCGCGCTGTCGCTGCCTGCGCTGTCACTGCCCGCGCTGTCGCTGCCCGCGCTGTCGCTTAACCAGCTGGAGTCTGAGGACCACCGGTCCCCCTGGTAGCTTAAGGACAACTGGTCCTCCTGGCTCCGGACGCTCCCGACGCTAGGGGTCTTCCTCATGGCGGAGACTGTCGGTTTCGGAGACCCCTCAGACCCTCCCCGCTTTTCTCCACCCCTGGAGGCCATCAGTAGCGAGCTACTGCCTTGGCCACAACCTCCCAGCAGGAAAGCTCGCGGTTTCCAATCTGTGAAAGGAGCACCGCCAAGCCAGAAATGCCAAGCCAAGCGATCACTGCCACGCCAAGCGACCACCGCCAAGCCAAACGATCACCGCCAAGCCAAGCGACCACCGCCAAGCCAAGCAACAACCGCCAAGCCTCGCGGGTAAGGCCAAGCCACGCGGGTAAGGCCAAGCCAATCCGTTACACACCAGTGCGCCTGCGCACCTGTGACGTCACTGCATCTGTAGCTCCAGCCGCCCCCAAAAAAACTCCTTGGCCTGCAGGTGGCGCTGCAGCTCCGGCGCCGGCCTGGGCTGGCGGGTGGTCCCTGGGAGGGTTCGGGGTGGCAGTGCCCAGCCTGCCTGTCATGAGTGACGCCTCACAGAGCCGCTGGCGCACCTGCTCCTCGGCTTGCTCTGTTCAGGGGTGCCGGCCAGTTCCCGCCCCTGTGCCGCCATCGCCTGGCCGCTGTCTGACCACCGCAGCGAAGTTGCCCAAGAGTCCTCGCTGCCAGGATGCAAGCGGAGTTGGATGGCTGGGTCAGAGCCGGCTGTCCACCAGGCGGGAAGGGCAGTCCGACGCCGCTGCCCGCCTAGCTTCTACTCGGCCTGCGCCTGGAGCCAGGGACCAGCTCTGGGCATTCCGCTGCCTTAGGATGGGGCCGAGCAGCCGCTGCCACCCTGTGCCGCAGCCGCTGCGCACATCTGCCCAGGGGCAGTGCGGCTGGTGACTCGGGCGGGTCGGGGAAGGCCAGGTGCCACCGGAGTTGTTCGCCTCTAGTCAGTCCTGACTGTGCAGCCCGCGAGCACTAGTGAAATTTAAGAAAAGTGACAGCCGAGCACGGTGGCTCACACCTGTAATCCCAACACTTTGGGAGGCCAAGGCGGGCGGATCCCTTCAGGTCAGGAGTTCGAGGCCAACCTGGCCAACATGGTGAAACCCTGTCTCTACTAAAAATACAAAAATTTGCTGGGCGTGGTGGCGCACGCCTGTAGTCCTAGCTACTTGGGAGGCTGAGACAGGAGAATCGCTTGAACCTGGGAGGCAGAGGTTGCAGTGAGCCGAGATTGCGCCACGGAACTCCAGCCTGGGCTACACGGCAAGACTGTCTCAAAAATAAAAGAAAAAGAAAAAGAAAAAAGAAAAAACAAAAAAGTGACAAAGGAGAATCTAGAGAGCACTCAAATACTAATTCTTGAGGACAATTAAGACAGATAGCATTATGAAAAACAGATTTTGTCACTGAAGCCTCAGGGCTTCAGCCTAGATCCTAAGCTGCTCACCCACAAAAAGCCAGTCACTGAGATGAGGATTTCCAAGGAAGAAGGCTTTAATCAGGTGCAGCAGCCGAGGAGATGGGAGCTCAGTCTCAAATCCATCTCTCTGACCAATGAAAATTAGGGATTTGTAGTATAGCAAGGAAGAAATGTAACTATGTATAAGAAAACATGAACTAGGGAGGGGTAAGGAAGCAATCGTTTAAAAAAGTATCTTCGGTCGTGCTTGATGGCTCCGGCCTGTAATCTCAGCACTTTGGGAGGCCGAGACGGGCAGATCCTGAGGTCGAGATCCAGACCATCCTGGCCAACATGGTGACCCCCGTTCTCTACTAAAAATACAAAGATTAGTTGGGTGTGGTGGCATGTGCCTGTAGTCCCAGCTACTCGGGAGGCTGAGGCAAAAGAATCGCTTGAATCCGGGAGGCGGAGGTTTCAGTGAGCCAAAGGTTTCAGTGAGCCGAGATTGTGGCACTGCACTCCAGCCTGGCGACAGCGCTAGACTCCGTCTCAAAAAAAAAAAAAAAAAAAAAAAAAAAAAAAGTTCTTCACCTTGCCTCCTCAATCTTGGCATAATTCCCCCTGCGAGTGGTTTCTGGGGTCTCAGTTGGCATTTAGTCACACGTATGACATTGCACATATTGTGTGCACATCTGCACAGCTCAGCAGTGTCCTGGGTAGGCCTTGAAGGGTGATCTTCATATGAGCCTGTGGCCTCAGCAAGAAAGCTGTACACGGGAAGCAGAGGAGCCAGCAGGAGCCCAGTCCTCTGCTGAAAATTCCAGCACCACCCGCAAGAGCAGCTGCCATGGAGATTGTGACCCAACACGGAATATATGCATGAAGATGCTGGTTTGAAAACACTCAGTGTAAGCGTGGCACTTTGAAAAAATATTAATGATAAATGTCACTGAGAAAAAAATCAGAAACAAAATATATTTATTAGAAATATTACAGTCATTTATCATACACTTTCCTGGGAATAAATACATCTAATTAGCATGTCATATCCTAACACTGCTGAGTACAATCTAGTGTGGTCTTTACAGACACGACGAGGCCACAGATGTATCAACTACATTCAACTAATGTAGTTAAAATTAGTGTGCTACTCAGGATGCTACAGATATAGCAAAATTCTAACCTGGTTCAGAGGAGTGAAATGCCCAGTGAATTGAGGCAACTGTAGATATTCAAAATGCTTCTAAAAAGGCTGTGAGGTTATGTCCCTTACTGTATGTCATTGGTAGGTCATCTCAAAATGGCACTCGAGCTTTGGAAGGGTGAGAGCTATTGCTAGATTTGCATAGATGCAGGGGGTCTGCATCTATGGGCCCGAGTCCTTCATCTCCACAAGCTGCCCCTCAGTGGGGGAGAGGAGGGGGAGGCTAAGGGAGTCTCTGTAACATTTGTGGACAGTAGGGAAGAGAGCATGGCAGAGATTCCTCACCGCTGGATGGCTTGTGCCCTGGGGATGTGTGTTTTTATCTAACACCCACCGGCATCTACTTGGGTTGGTTTCTACAAAAGCTGTAAAACAACAACGGAAAGAAAAAGGAAAACAAAAGACATACTATTTTTGAAATGAGAAGGGGCTAGGACAAGAGAAGCTACTGAGAATGTTATCCCCACAAGGCGGGGGCCAGGGGCTACCATCAGACAAGGAAAAATCAATCCATGTTAGATGCAGAGGACAGCAACTTCTCGCCTTGAAAAACTCCCCTACTCTACTGGGGCTTGCATTTTGCAGCTGTCTTTCATGTAAAAATTATACATTAAAAAAAGGATCTTCAGAACCACCAAAGGATTTTAAATGACTGTACTGGCTGAGGGAAGATGGAAAGAAATGTGGCTGTTGTACAGGCCTCTGAAAGCCTCAGGACAGAAACGGAATGGCACGCTCTGCTGAGAACAGAAAATGTAAGATGCTGACCTTGTTTTCCCAGTTTACCAATTTTCCACCTTCACCTGGTGCTCAGAGCTCTGTTAAAAACAGACCTAAAAACCCTACCCCTTGGCCTAGCTGGGGTGGGGACTGCCTCCCCCAGGTCCTGCGCCTCCACACGCCAGTGGATGGCTTGGGGGAGCCCTACTAGCTGCTGTGCTAGAAGGCCTATTCCTGGACTCCTGAGGCCATCAGTCACAGTTCCAGGACCCCAGCAGAACCTGCCCTTCCCCGAAACACCACCTGTATTTCTTTTCTTTGTGTGTGTGTGTGTGTGTGTGACAGGGCCTCACTCTTTTGCCCAGGCCAGAGTGCAGTGGCACAAACACAGCTTACTGCAGCCTCAAACTCCTGGGCTCAAGTGCTGCTCCCACCTCAGCCTCCCAAGCAGCTGAGACTACAGGTGCCTGTCATTGTACCCAGCTAATTTAAAAAAAAATTTTGGGGCCAGGCGCGGTGGCTCACCCATGTAGTCCCAGCCCTTTGGGAGGTTGAGGCAGGCATATCACTTGAGGTCAGGAGTTCGAGACCAGCCTGGTCAACATGGTGAAACTGTTTCTACTAAAAATACAAAAATATGCCAGGCATGGTGGCACATTCTTGTAATCTCAGCTACTCAGGAGGCTGAGGCAGGAGAATCGCTTGAACCTGGGAGGCAGAGGTTGTAATGAGCCAAGATCACACCATTCTAGCGTGGGTGACAGAGTGAGATGCTCTCTCAAAAAAAAAAGAAAAAAAAGAAAAAAGAAAAAAATTTTTTTTTTGTAGAGTCAGGTCTTGCCATGTTGCCCAGGCTGGTCTCCTACTCCTGGGCTCAAGCAATCCTCCCACCTCAACCTCCCAAAGTGCTGGGATTACAGGCATGAGCCACCATGCCTCACCACCATGTGTGTTTCTATGGACAGGACATGGCATTCCTCTTCTACATGCACACCCACTGGCAAAAAAAAAAATGGTAGTTGGGGAAACTCCTTGAGTTGTAAAAATAAATTGCACATGGCCTTTCATGTTTCTGTCCTTCTTTTTAACCTAAAGAGAGCAGGATACAGACAAAAATGGGGGAGTTTGGCCACAGTCATTGGCAACTTGGGCTCCCATTGGAGAGGGACTGGTATGGCCCCAGCGGGGCAGGAGGGAAACCACACCATTGCTCAGAGCTGGTTCTGGATGGTTCACACGTAATCACTCAAAATGGAGCCAATCACAGGCCGGATGTGGTGGTTCACCCGAGTGAGCTGAAATTGCACCACTGGCACTCCAGCCTGGGCGACACAGCAAGACCCTTATCAAACAAAAACAAAAACAAACAAACAAAAAAACAGCCAGGTTCGGTGGCTCATGCCCATAATCCCAGCACTTTGGGAGGCCGAGGCAGGTAGATAACCCGAGGTCAGGAGTTTGAGACCAGCTGGGCCAACATGGTGAAACCCCCTCTCTACTAAAAATACAAAAAAATTAGCTGGGTGTGGTGGTGGGCACCTGTAATCCCAGCTACATGGGAGGCTGAGGCAGGAGAATCGCTTAAACACGGGAGGCAGAGGTTGCAGTGAGCTGAGACGGTGCTATTGCCCTTCAGCGTGGGCAATAAGAATGAAACTCCATCTCAAAATAAATAAGCAAAAATAAAAATAAAAAACAGAACCAAAAATAAAAAACAGAAAACACCCACTCCCACTCCAGGCATCCCAAGACAGCAACTGCTTCCCCACATACAACCCTGGAGTAATTCCAGCTTAAATCTAACAACCAGCAGCTCAACTCAACTACTTGGGATATTACTTTCCCCCACTTTAATGGTGGGTAAAGTACAAGTACAGGGTTAATAAAAAATGCTTCAGACAAGTGCCTGAAGCAGCAGAAGTAATAACTTTCAGGTTGAATTGGTTGTGACTATGT